TGAACTAATTGTTCAATTTTGAACTCGTTTATCAAGTGTTTTCTATCTCAGAAACCTGAAATTCAACTGATTTTCAATACCCATTCATTAGACCCATGATAAGTTTTTGCATTTTCAATACTAGTTTTATTCCTTTTTTAATTAATAATCTTTGTTCTATCGCTTCTATCGTTCTATGAGAAAATCGAATAACCGTCGACTCGAATTTTCCAATAGAAAGTTTCCTATGTTCCAGATTGCTAATCCTTATTTGCTCTTTATCCACGTGCCATTTAGCCAACTCCACAGCTACAAAACAATATGGGGTATATTGTTTTGTTTACATCGGCCCAAAGATAAAAGAGCTATATAAATACTGTACATTAACAGATACTCTATAGTCTTTGTACTAATTATAGCCGACAGGTTTCCTTGCCATTATTGCCTCTTGAAAGTGAAGCTTTTATCTGGCTCGGCAAATGAATTTACTTTACAAAAGTTAAACATGTTAACAATGGATGCTGTGACACGTATACGGGCTTTATAAAACGGGAACGTAAAACTGTCTGCTCCCAATTCGGCATGAATATTCATCAAAAGAAATGCGACGTGTTGTATGGTAAAGAGAAATTTTTGATCAAAAAACGACCACTTTTTGCGAATAATGTAAACCCATTTAAAACACAATGACTTTGACCGCCGGCAAATATTAAAAATTGGACAACCAAAGTAATAAAATATTGTGTGTATTCAATCTGGGCTCCACTTTAGAAGTTCTTTGATATGTAGATGTTCAAGACAAAGTTACATATAAAATTATCGAAAATAATTCCGTAAAATTACGTTCAGTGTTTCCAGACATATTTATAAATCAGTATAAATGTAGTGGATTACATGTAAATTGGTTGAAATTTAGTGGTTAGACTAGATGGGTTCGTCAACAAAACACAATTTGATTAATAGTAAAATAGAGTTAAACTACTTGATAATTACATTAAATGTTTCCAATGATTCAATTCAAGTGATAAAATTATTTCTAAATTAAACTTCCCCAATGATTTAATTCAAGTAAAATTGTTCCAATTCGTCTTCAAGGGAAATCAGAAGCAGCTTTGATGGGATTTCTTTGAAACCGAAAGCGCTGTCGATATAAACGTATTATCGTATATTAATTTAATTGTTATTATAATTAGATATATATTTTTTCATATTATTTTATTATTCCCTCTCAAATATTTTGCAGATTTATTCAGTCTCTCGTCGCAACTAATGATTTGAAATTATTTAATAGCAAAACGTGGTTCCTGTTTTATATTGTAACTTTTTAAACTTACAGCAGTTTGAAATCTTACCATAATTAACAATGTGAACACGTCAGTTTTTCATGGATATACTCAACTCTATCCAGGGTGTCCCGTAAGATCATGATCAAAAGGGTACTGCGATATTCTTTGCACCAAAAGAAGACGATCTGACCTAATTTTTATTAACGAAAAATGTCTGGCTCTTCTGCTATTGATGGTCAAAGTTCTTTAAAAAATGTATCTTGTTCGAAATATCGGGAGAATGTATGATGTATTTTAGTGAAACTCGCTGTGAATTTGTTCTTATGTAAGACTCATATTTTGATGAAACAATCGAGTTCAGCCGTTTTGGACAAGTGGTGAATTCTTGAGTGTCGTGCGTACAAAAGCTAACAGAACTTTTTAGTTGGAGGATGAAATCAATTTTTTTTAGGTTGATGCACTAATCATTTGCTCACAATTTTGTGCTCTTTGTAAAATCTCGTAGCATTCATAGTTTCTGCGTACAAAAAATATGCGTAAACAACGTACGCAGTTTGCGTAAACGCGTACGCTTTTACGCAAATTGCCTTCGCAAAACCCTAATACTTTGACCATGTCGGTCACTTCTTCATTAGAAAAAGTAATTCAAAACGAATTTGTTAGATTGATGATAATGATTTTATGCCTCGTATCACGATATTTGCAGTTAATGTCTAACATTGCTAAGTGGCAAGTAAACAGAAATATTTTTTTTGCTAAATCTATAAATGCTACAAGATTTTACAAAGAGCACAAATTTGTGAATAAATGATTAGTGCTATCACCCTAAAAGAGGTCAGTTGATTTCATCCTCCAACTAAAAAGTTCTGGTAGTTTTTGTACCACCACACTCAAGCTTTAAAAAGATATTTTTTTGAAGAACTTTTTGTTAATAAAAGTTACGTCAGATCGTCTTATTTTGGTCCAAAGAATATCGCAGTACCCTGTTGATCATGAGCTTAAGGGACACCCTGTATAACAAGAATGTTACTGAACTTATACAATTATTACAATTATTGTCAATTATGGATTTTCGAACAACAAACGAATACTGAAGTGCCAAATATACAAAAATATTCTTTAAACATATATACACTGTATATAAAACAGAAATAATTCTTTAGACGCATTTATTTAACGCGTTGTTCCAATTAAATTTCTGAAAATATGCAATTTCGGTGAAAACGTTGAATAAATATATGAAACTTTAGCAGTATTTAAAATTTGTATATATGAAAATTTAGCTATTCAATAGATTTAATTGTTTGAGCCATCGTTACACAGTACTCATAAACTAACTCCATAAAGGAATGAAGTACGATTTTAATTTGATCGGGTTCGGAGTTGGAACTACATTGAATTAAGTTAACAATTTGTGTAATTGGAAAAACATTCATGAAGACATTTATGAAGAGAATACTTTTACCATTTAAGTAACAGACGCTAACGAGATGTGTTGGGAGAAAATGAAGGCATACTCAAAATAAAACTCTTTCACACTTACAAAAATTTCAAAAATAACACTAACATGATTAAAACGGATATCATTTGTTGCACAAATGTTCATGGAAAGACTACGACCAATTACTCAGAAAAAGCAAGAAAGAACAACACAAAAACAACAATCAAATAGTGGAAAAAAATATCCTAACGTGAGCCTCGTTGAATAATATGGATCTACTCTCTTCGAGTTTAACTTTAAAACTATACCTGCAATCTCAAACCACATTTATTTAGAGTCCATAAAATTTCAATAACTATATCCTATTTAAGCTCAAATCCATTCTATAGTCCCTTAAGCCATAAACCATGAAAACTGGTGTAACAATGGCACCCTGTACCGAAATAACTCTATATTGGTTTAATGCTAGTATGTGTATGCATAGAATTTATAGACCAAACCCTATATAAACTAGTGGGTTATGACGCACAAAAGAGGATATTATAACGGTTTCGGTGCTATCTGCCGGATACCAACCTCCATTCAACCTACCTGTACATTGTTTTCTGTTAAATATAATATTTTAAACATATCGATTCAACATAAGCTCAATAGGGATGTGAATAACTGGCT